CTACTACTACTACTACTACTACTACTACTACTACTACTACTACTACTACTACTACTACTACTACTACTACTACTACTACTACTACTACTACTACTACTACTACTACTACTACTACTACTACTACTACTACTACTACTACTACTACTACTACTACATCTGATGATGTCATTACTATTACTATTTCTACTACTACCACTACTACTACTAGGACTACTACGACTACGGCTAGTACGACCACTTCTACCACTCGCAGTACGACTATTTCCACGACTCCAGCTGCTACGAATACCACTACTACAGTTACCACCACTAGTAATAGTAGTTCGTAGTCTTACTACTACTACTACTACTACTACTACTACTGCTACCACTACCACAAATTCTACACTACTCGAACGGCTACTCATACTACGGCTGCTAACAGGTTTATTGTTATTGTGTTTTTCTCTTACAACGTTTTTTTTACGGCGGCGAGTGCTACTACTGCTACTGCTACGGCTACTACAGGTAATACACTCTTACTACTGCTATATACCAACTACTACTACTACTACTACTACTACTACTACTACTACTATCACTATCAGCACTATTACTACTACTACTACTACTACTACTACTACTACTACTACTACTACTATTACTATCACTACTACTAGTACTAGTACTAGTACTACTACTTACTGCTACTACTACTACTACTACTACTATCACTATTAGCACTATTACTACTACTACTACTACTACTACTACTACTACTACTACTACTACTACTGCTACTACTACTACTACTACTATCACTATCACTACTACTAGTACTAGTACTAGTACTACTACTTACTACTACTACTACTACTACTACTACTACTACTACTACTACTACTACTACTACTACTACTACTACTACTACTACTACGACTTCGAGAACTGCGGCGGCCACTGCTACTACAACTGCTACGGCTACTAGTACTACATCGTCGGCAGCATTATAACTACTGTTGCCGGTATTACTTTGACTACGACTATTACACATACTATGGGCACGACTACCACGATTATTACTACTACTACTACGACCGCTGCTGATACTATTACTATCGGACTTACTGCCACTACTGCTATTTCTCGTAGACACTACCAGTGCTACTAGCATTACCATCGCTACTAGAGTTTCTAGTGCTACTCGCGTGCTACTCGTACTATGGGTGCTTTTAGTAGTAGTAGTACCACTCGTACTCGTGATGGTATTGGTACTCGTACTCGTATTAGTACTCGCCGAGGCGGCCACCGTTACCGCCACCTCCCCTCGCCCCCCTCCCCCCATGTAACATGCGTTACCCTCCCAGGAAAAATGGGCAGCCACGCCCTGTGACGAGACGTATGCAGGCGTAGACCGTGGCGTATGCTCTGCGCTGGGCCCCTGCTCGGAGGAGAGGGTGACGGGGTCGGGCCTCGCCCAGGAGGGGGGGAGGGCGATCAGAAGGAGGAGTGGGACAAGCAGAACGAGCAGGACGAGGAGAACAGTGGGGAGCACGAGGAGGATGGTATTGATGATGCGAATGAGCAGGGGGAGGAGGAGGAGGAGGAGGAGCAGGCAGAAGAGCAGGCGGAAGATCAAGCGGAGGAACAGGAGCAGAAGGAACATGAGGAGGAGTGTGGGGAGGAGCTGGAGGAGGAGCAGGAGGAGAAGGAGGAGGAGAAGCAGGGGACGTAGTGGGTGGAGGATGTACCTGTGTCAGCTGCGTAGCGCGCGGTAGGGCGCCAAGCAGCCAAATCGTGAGTGTGTTCAGCTGCAGCTCAAGCCTTTGAAGGTCAACTGTAACTTCGTCATTTTCATATGTTGATCGACTGCTTCAGTTTGGGCCTCGGGAGAAGCTTGGGGAGAGTCAGGGCGGGTGTGGTGTCAACGCGCCAACGGAAGTGGTCTGACACACAATGTTGTAGCATTGTGTCGCCATGCATTGCTGCTTTTTTGGTATTGTAATTTGCAGTGCACTGCGTTTGCCTGCGTCATCTTGGACTTCGGATTCCACGCTGGAGGCAGAAGAGGTTTGGAGAGGTTCAGGGAGCGTGTGGTGTCGCGGCGCAAACGGCACTGATCGCAATCACTTTTTTTGAAGTGTGCGTATGCTACTCTACACTTTTCTTTTGCACTGCGCTCTTTTGTGTGCTGCGTTTGGCTGCTTCAGTGTGAGCTTGGGATTCCGCGTGTGCATGGGGAGGGGAGGAGGGGGGATCAAAGACAGTGTCCACGTGCAAACGGCAGTGTTCAGACATGCCGTTTGTTTGTTGTCATTTCTTTTGTTGCGTTATTGGTTTTGTCTGCATTGCGTGCTTGTGCGTTGCGCTTGACTGCGTAAGCTGCTCGAGCTCGGATTTCGCGTGTGAGTCGGGACAGGCCTTGGTGTGGCGTCACAGCGAAAGCGGCCATGACGCGACGCACAGCTGGTTTGCACCCTTTCGTTCGTATGCGCTTCATGTTTTTGTTGTTTGATTTGCACCGCGTATGTCTTCGCTGCAGCTGTCTTTGGGGTAAGCTTGATTTTCGAGTTTTTTGAATCGCTTGTAAGCTGGGGGCGGCTTCGGGCGAGTCAGGGCAAGGGTGGCGTTCAGACCGCCAGCAGCCATTGGAGTGGTTTCGGGAGAGGGGAATCATACCAGTGCAGAAGGGTTTGGCAGAAGGTAGCCTCATAGTCGAATGCAAGAAGAGGGCGCAGTTGAGCACGAACAAGAGGAAGTCATGCACACTCAAGGGTGGATGCGACCACAAGTTCGAGTACAAGGTGGAAAGCTTACATGATGAGATAGAGATGGAAGGAGAGACGGAGAGAGATGACTAAAGAAATCAACGGACGGAATAGAGAGGGACACATATATATACACATAAATACACAGGGATTGTCCATCAAACATATATCGAGTGGAGGGGAGGAGGCGCATGATAATGAAAAGAGAGAGGAAAGTATAGTGACTGTGAGCAAGAACGAATTTGAGAATGATGGAACGGTGGTGGTGGTGGTGGTGGGGATCGGGCGAAGCGGGGCGGTGGGAAAAGGGGACGAGAGGCGGCAGTTCCAAGCCGCTTGCCGAGGCCGGCCCGCAGGCCTTGCGGCCTGACTTACAAATGGGGTCAGCTCGTGTTCGTGGCAATCTCAAAGCCGGTGTTGTTGACTCCTTCAGGGCCCGAGCTGGCTGTCTGGCCGTGAGAACCTCCTGTGGAGCCGCGGGTCAGATCGGGGCACTCCGGGGCAGAAGCTCTCTTTTGTCAGGCTGCCTTCGTGTCTGGTCTTCTGGGTGGGAGAGATAGTTGGCTTGGATTCTATACGGGGTCCACTCGCCCAAGAATAGGACGGGGCTAGGACGAGGACAAATCCGTTCCAGAGCGTTCTGGAACGCTCTCAGAGCGTTCCGGAACGCTCTGAGAATGCCGCGGCGCCCGAGACATCCTCCAGAGCCGCCGGATCCTATAGGTTCTCGATTCAGCCTCACCCGATTTTATCCTCGTCCTAGCTTCGTCTTAGGCTCCGATGGTTGAAGCCCGGGGTGACCTCGGATGAAGCTCGGGCTCTTTTGCCGCCCGAACTCGGGCTGGAGCTGTCCCTGGCTCTGGTCCCTCGACGCGCTGCTGTCTCGCTGCTGGGCGACTGAGGGGACGTTGGTGCACCTGGCGAGGGGGCTGGCTGTGAGGAAAATCTGGGCGGCCACGCGCGGCACGCAGTAGCTGTATTATCTAGTCGGCACGTCCGCCTCGTCAGGTATGGGAGGCGTTGGAGCGGCGATGTTCCGACGTTCGTCCGAGGTGCATCCGACGTGAATCCGACGCAAACCCGAAGTGAACCCGACGTGATTTCGACGCGGCTCCGACGTACCTTGGGTCTCAAGTTGCCGCGCGAGGTCTCCAGTCGGCGGCGAGCCCAGGGGAAAAGTCAGGAGGGGGCGGGCCTTCTCAGATCAAGCAGCGGCGAAGCGTCCTGGCTCGCCTATCCTATAGTCCTACCAAACAGTGTTCTAATATCCTCTTGTGGTTTCCACTAGAACATTTCTGGTTGAAATATTGTCTTGCTTTCACACATCGGGTTTATGTTCTAAGAACATGGTTTTCGTTCTTAGAGCATGTTTGGGTTCTGAGAACATCTCGTGGTGGGACTATGGGAGTGCCGGGACGGTCGGTCCCTGCTCCATCGGAAGGCTCGCAAGGCTTCCGGCCCTCCGAGAAGGCCTCGACGGCTTCTCCGAAGACGCGGGCGGCTCCTCGGAATGCCGGAGGGCCTCCGCAGAGCCCCGCCGCCTGGTGCGGAGGCCTGGCCCCCCTCGCTCCGCCCTCCTCCTCCTCCTCCTCCTCCTCCTCCTCATCCTCCTCCTCCTCCTCCTCCTCCTCCTCCTCCTCCTCCTCCTCCTCCCTCCTTTCCTCCCTCCTTTCCTCCCCCTCCCTCCCTCCCTCCCCCCCCCCAGCCCCTCTCTACAATTACCCTGGCATCGCTCGGACGTGTGCATTTTTCCGCGGCGAGAACCATCGAGGACCATCCTGGACCATCGAGCAACAAAAAAACACGCACGAAACCGACACATGCACGGGAAATGGACGTCCGAGTGACAGCAAGTTACACATTATCAATACTCTCCGTAAGGGCTTCGCCCCCATGCCGCCGGCCCCCTCTCTTAGAATGGGATTTTCCAGACCTGTGTTGGGACGTCTGGACGCTGACGTGAAGCAATGCTGGGACTTCACGCGAGGGTCAATATTCATTTACGAAGGTTTATGGTTTCGGTGGCGCGAATATTAGGTAATTTGCGATGGCGTATGGCTTCGGGGACGCGAATCTCGTTTAATTTGTGAGGGTTTGTGGCCTCGTGGACGCAACGATAATGTAATGTACGAGGGTGTATGGCCTCGGGGGCGCAAGCATTATATAATTTTCGAGGGTTTATGGCTTCGGGGACGCGAATATGGTGTAATTTGCAAGGCTATGTGGCCTCGGGGACGCACGTATGGTATAAATTACGACGGTTCATGGCCCTGGGGACGCGAATGTTGTATAAGTTCGACGGTTTATGATTTCGGGGGCGCGAGTACTTTCTGAGTTTACAAAGGTTTATGGTTTCGGGTGCGCGACTATTGGGTAAATTACCAAGGTATATCGTTTCGGGGACGCGAATATGGTGTAAACTACAAGGGATTATGGCTTCGGGGACGCGAATCTGGCATAATTTACTAAGGTTTATGGCCTCGGGGACGCGAATATGGCGTAATCTACAAGGGATTCTGGCTTCGGGGACGCGAGCATCATGTATTTCGACGTGTCCCACGACCTCCCGGGGAATTCAGACAACGCGATTCGGGGACGCTAGCCAGGACACTTTTCGGCTCCCCCTCCTTCCGTATTCAGCAACAGTAAATAGTAAGGAAGCAGAAAAAGCAGGACTGTAACAGTGGACGCTGGAAACTGCAATGGTACAGGGAGCCTAATCTTCAGAGCCTGATGGCCCAACAAGGCGGCCGGTGGATTCTCCTCTCTCCCCTGGGATGTCCGGAAGATGTCCGGCCCCCCTCCGCGTATTGTTTTTTACACCAGATTCCCGGGACACGGGTTTTCGCCATGGTGTTTTTTTGTTTAATGCTGCTCCCGCTGATGGCCCCATTTCTGCGACTTTGGTTGTTCCAAATCGTGCTCCCGCTGCAGCGCGGGCGTTTTCAGTCCTTCCAAATCAGCACCAAAATCTAAAACATACCCCCCGCGGAAAACCATCGGAGGTGATTACACATTCGGTGCCGATTCGTTGATTTTTGTCGCAGGCCTAGAGGTCGACACCAACACCAATATCGGCTGTGTGCCTCCACCGAGGGAAGAAGATCCCGATCTCGGTGATGGTGGTAATATTCAAGCTTCCAAGGTGACCGAAATATTACCACCAGCACCGAAATCGAGGATCATATTCCGCCAATGGAGGCACACCGCCGATTTTGGTGTTGGTGCCCATTTCCAGGCCTTCAATCTTTGGGGCCGCGGAAGACCCCCACCCACTTTGGGGCGTCGTCGTTTTCTGGAAGTATCAAGCGGGATCCCCGTTTCTGCTTTGAGAAGGCGAGTGCTCTCCATCAGCCCCGCCTTCTGTGAAGCTTCTCGGGGAGCCCAAGAAGCTATGCATGGAACCACGATTCCAGACAGGCCCAGACCTCTCGAAGACGATCCGATTACCCTCCAAGGAACCCGGCGCCATGCCATGACATGCTGTGCGGTGTTGTGTTCTGCGCCGCTGTGCGATGCCATGACATGCTTTGCGTTGCAATGCTTTGTGATGCAATGCTTCACTGCGCAATGCCACGCCATGCTATGGCATGCAGCGCTCTTCTTTGCTCTCCTACGCCATGCCATGCCGTGCTCTACCACGCATTGTGTACCCTCTCGCGATTCTTGCCCTGCTCGACATCCGCCATCGTAAGGGATGGGAGGGAGGGGTAGGACGTTACAAATGACGCGGTTCAGATATGACGCCTGTCCTCCCCCCTCCCTTCGCTCCGCCCCCCCCCGCGCGGGGCGCGCCGCCGCTCCAGGCTGCTCCTCGGGAGGCTGGCCTTGTCCGGTTCTCCTGGGCGGGCCTCGGCCGAGGCGCCTGGCGCCCGCGCGCGCTGGAGCGCGAGCAGCGCGCGGCGCGCGAGCCGCCAAAGGGCTCTCCGAGGCACTTTGGCAAACACGCTGAAGCTCTTGCTCCGCAGGCGGCGCGTGGTTGCGCCATCGGCTCTCGCCGTGCTCCTCCCCTCGAGCAGTGGCAAAAAGGGTATCAACATAGTGTCTCGGAGGTCCGCGCGGATTTCCCAGATCGGCGCTGGGCCCCCCTGGCGGCGCCTCCTGCGCCGATCTGCGAAACCTGTGCGGCCTCAGAAAATGTATGTTTATGCAGGTGTGTGTTCACACTCTGTTCTCCCCCCCCTTCCCCGCAGATCTACGGCGTCATGCACGGCAACCTGGTGGTCCTCATGCTGCTGCCGCTGCCGGTCTGCTACTACGCGCAGGCCGCGCTCGCCCGTGAGTCTCCCTTTCTCTCGGCATGCTCTCTCGAGCACCTCCTGGAACACCAGGCAGCCGGCTGAGAGACAGGGATGGACAGGCACGGCGAGCGGGGCCGAGACGGAGCGCTGGCTTGGCCCTCGAGTCCACCCTGGTCGCGGCTGATCGAGAGCAGCTCAGACAGCGAAGCGACGACACTACCCCCTCCCTCGTGGCTGTCTGCTCCTCCCTCCCCCTGGGGCTTTCCATTGTTTCACCCACTTGGTTGTGTTCTCACAGAGTTGCTTGCGTGGACTGCCCGTGCAATCCTAACCCCCCCTTATCCATCCCCCTCCTTCTATCATTGCCCTTGCCATTGTCCTTGTCATCGCATTTGTGCTTATCCTTGTCGTTGCCCTTCGTACGTATTAGTGTTTTTTTCTTTAACGTGATCCAGGTCCTAGTCACGATCGGCACTACAACCCCGATTCTACCTGGTCCCTGGTGCGGACAGCGCCGCGCGTCCCAGCGTGAGCCCCCCCCCACCCCCCCCTCTCCTCGGTCTCCTCCCGATGCCCCCTTGCCCCGCCGCCGCCATGCCGCCGAGCGCCGTGGACGACGAGGGGTCTCAGTCTGAACTCGGAATGTGGCTCCGAGCGGGGCTGCCACCCTACTTAGTGCCGGGGCCTGCGTGGGCCATGGGCCGGTCTTCCTTCCTCCTCGGGGCCCCGTCAGCCCTGCAAGGTGACAGCTCTTGGAGGCAGAGACCGCCGCTGCCGCCCCTGCCCCCCCCCCGCTCCCCCCTGGCTCCAGTGCACCCTCCCTGCCTTCGGCGGCGCACCACCGCCGCTGCCCGCAGCTTGCGGCGGGGGGCCGCTCCGGACGCTTCCGGGGCGGCGGCGCCCCAGTTGGAGTCCGGGGGCCGTTGTCGTCGTCGTTGTCGTCGTCGTCGTCGTCGTCGTCGTCGTCGTCATCGTCGTCGTTGTCGTCGTCGTTGTTGTCGTCGTCTTCGTCGTCGTCGTCGTCTTCGTCGTCGTCGGTCGTCGTCGTCGGTCGCCGTCGTCGGTCGTCGTCGTCGTCCTCGTCGTCTTCGTCGTCCGACGCCTTCTTTCGGGGCGCGGGCAGAGGGTGCCAGTCCTCACGGGGGTCGTCCAATCCCCTCTGATCTCTGGCTGGCCTTGTGGGAGCCGGTGGTGCCGGCTCCTCTCCCTCAGTTGACCAGAGTGGGGTCCACGTCTCAAGGAAGGCCGGGACGGTCGGTCCCTGCTCACAGGGTGGGGTCTGCTCCGTGGCCGGCCCAGGTGCGCGACATTGCGTTGGCTGGCTCGGGCCAGCGTGGACCTGGGCCAGCGCGTCCCCGATCTTCGAGAGGACATGGGAGCTGTGGAAGGTACCAGCGAGCCGTCGCTTCCGGTCCCTCCTTTCAGGGCCGCCAGCACCCACCTGGTCGCCACGAGCCATTTGAAGTCCACCGCCGCGCCCCCTCTCGATCCCCACCCGTGGCTTGGCCTGTGGAGGGCGAGTGCGGCGTGGGGCTCCTCGACTCTGCGGCGGCGTTCTCTTGCTGTGGGGGGGGGGGCTGCCATTCGGTTCCCCGGGGGGCGCTTTGGCCCATCCTTGCGGGCCGATCACCGCTGCCGCCTCTGCCTGGTTCGTGGGGGCTTCTCCTCGTCGCCGTCACGGCCGCTGTCGCCGTTGCTGTGATATGGGCCACTTGGGGCTCAGGAGTTCATCGAGAATCAAAGAAGCCCTAACCCTAACAACACGGTGAAGACGTGGCCTCGCTGAGGCCCCCGTCTTCGCATTAGGGATAGTAGTTCTGTGCGGTTTGGTCTGATGCGTCTGCAGGAAAGGTCCCCCTGACCCTACTGCCTTCTGCCCTCCTAACTGAAGTCCCCTCCCCAAAGGGTTAGGGGTCCTTTCTGGGTCAATCACGAGTGGCCCTGGTTTTCGGGCCGCCCCTTAGAGATCTGGGCCGTGGAGCTTATGCGTGGCCGAGGCTCCCCGTGGCCAGAGCAGCCCCTTCGTTCCCTGTCCAGCTTTCTCTCTGGTAGTCAGCACGGCTGTCTGCACTCCTCACCCAGCACCGGAGGCGCCCAGAAGATCTCCCCATCGCCCCCGAGCTTATCGCAGCGCCGCCTCCAACGTGCTACTGCCGCTACTACTGCCGCTGGGTGCCCAAGCCCTGGTCGTCTTCATCCTCATTGCGTTAGGGGTCGTCTGTCTCCCTGGTTGTCATTTCTCCTTCCCGGCTATTGTCCTTCATTCCTCGCTTCCTCTCTCCCTTGTCATCGTCCGTCATGGTGGTCCTCAGTGGACCATCCAAGCCGGGTGGCTTCCTTTCCCCAGGCCATCCTAGTGGACCCTCCAAGCCTGGTGCCTTCCTTCCCCTTCACTTGTTCCGTGCCGAGTCTCATGCCAGACTATGCGCGGCTTCTTGCTTTGCGTCCGTATCAGGGGCTTCTTCAACCAAAAGCGCCTTCGGTGCGGCAGCGAACTAGAATCGCCGATGCACCTGCGAGCGGATGCGCAGGTGCGATGTAGTGTGTAATGACCATATGCATCTCATGTCAGCCTTCCCCTCTCCTCCCATACCAGGAGGGGGGGAGGGGGCGGGGCAAGGAAGAGGAGGGGCTGGGACGGGGAGGGAGGAATGAGTCGGGGAGGGTGGAGGGGGGAAAGAAGAGGAGGGAGGGAGAAGTGATGAGGACAGGAGAGGGAGGGGGGGAAGGAGGTGGAAGTGATGAGGACAGGCGAGGGAGGGAGGGGGGACCAGTGCTCGGAAAGGCAGGCGGCCGCGACGGCTGGGCCTGGCCGCGCTTCCCCCCTGCGCCGCCCGCCTCGGAGGCGCAGCTCGCGGACAGGTACCCGAGGCTGCGCTGGCTGGTGCCCCAGAACCCGGCGCCTCGGGGGGGGCATCGCAGAGGGAGCACGCTGGGGGAAACGTCAGTCAGGCGATCGCAAACATGGATCAAGGGGGCGTGGATTAGCGACGGGTCCCGTTTCCATGGGGAATCGCAGATTTCCGCAGCCGGACAGGGCGGCGCCGGCCGCATTTTGGGAGGGCACCTCCCCCGATCCATGGATTCGGCGACCGCGCGCCAAGTCCATGGATCGCTAATCCATGTTTGCGCGCCCCCGACAGAACCCGGCGCCTCGGGGGCGACATCGCAGAGGGAGGACGCCGGGGGCAACGTCAGGGGGGGCAAGGGCATGCGGCAGGTTCGATTCGTCGGGACGGGTTCGTCGGCTCTGGGCGGCGTTCCAGCCTCGGCATGCGTTCCAGCAGCTGCGCCTCGCCGAGAGCGACCTGGTGGTGCCCGGATCCTCCCGAGCGGCTGCCTGAGAGCCGAGGTATGATCTCGAAAGCCAGGAGGCAAGTCTGCGGGCGGACCGGGTCGAAGGCCGCGCATCGACTCCCAATCGCCCATTCATCCCCGACAGGGGCCCAAGACAGCCCATCCCGCCCAGGAGCGTGCGAATCTGCTATCGGGGGCCTACCGTCGATCTACCGTCGACCGCGGCAGCAAAGGGGGCGGGGCTGCGACGGCTGCGGGGGCTGCTGCTGTGGCCACCGCGGCGCCTGCGGCGGTTGCAACGTTTCAGCCTGGCTTGGTCTCGTTGCCTTGTACTCGTCGCGCGACGTGGAGGCGTGGTCCCGGCTATCTTGGGCCGCTCAAGCATGCATTGTTCTTAGCCTTCCGGGTTTGGTTTGTCATTAGTTGTTGCACCCGCACCACGGTGCAAGAGCACACGCGCGCTGCTCTACCATGGCGCAGTACGAGTACTATTCTCTTCTCCCACGGGAATCTGTCCGGAGAGTGGCCGCCCCACCTCCGCGTGCCGTTTTTTACACGCATGTTTTGCGCGAGCGAGCTTCTCTTTCGCGTTTTCTGAGCTCGATCCCTCCGCGTCCTTTTTTTGCGCGCGGGATTTGCGCGAACTGGCTGTTCAGATGTTTTTTGTTGTGCAATCCGATTGTGAGTAAGCAGTTTTTCACAACTGATGCTCTTGCTGCAACGTGGGCCTCATTGTCGGATCGGCGCTATGCTCCCATTGTTCAGAATGGCGCTCCCGCTCCAGCGTGGGCCACTTTCTGGATAACATCGGCCTCGCAGGCCTCGAACGCACCACAGGTCCCACAGGACCCAGAAGTGTCGCAGGTCGCCCAACAGGTCCCGCCTGTCTGACAGGTTCCACGGGCCCCGCGAGTGTCGCATGTTTCGCAGGCCTCGCATGCCGTACTTGTCCAGCAGGCCCGGCAGGACTCGCAGGGCCTGCAGGTCGCAGAGGAGTCGCATGTGTTACAGGTCCCACAAAAGGCTCCCTGGTGCCACAGGTCCCGCCCGTCCCGCCGATGCCACGGGTTTCACAGGTCTCGCAGGCCTCACAGGCCCTACACTTCCCATAGGTCCCACAGGTTCCACAGGTGTCACAGGTCTCACATGCCCCACAGGCCACAGATGTCGCGCAGGTCGCACAGGTTCTACAAGTTTTTCTTGTGCGACCGTGCATAACACGATGGGGTCTTTTGTGGAGTTGCAGGTCGGCTATGGTTCTCGTCCGCGGATCGAACAACATCAGCGCAATAGGAAGGGATGGGAGAGAGGAACGGGATGTCAGATATGGCGCCAGCGCACTTCGACTGCCTCCGGCCATTCTTCCTTCTCCTTCTTTCTGTCCTCAGCCCCGTCGCCCTCATCATCATCATCATCATCATCATCATCATCATCATCATCATCATCATCATCATCATCATCATCATCATCATCATCATCATCATCATGCTGATACTCATCGTGGTTCCCCCTCCGGCTTTTCCTTTATTTTAAGTTCTCCTAGACCCCTCCCCCTGCTCCGACTCCCCGCCCCTGTCCTCGTCGTCCGCGTCATCGCGGCCGCCGTCGTGGTCCTCCTCGTCTCGTGCCCCAACGAGGTGTGGGCGCATCGCATGCTCGGCTACGCGCTCCTGGGCGGGATTTCCGTGGCAGGTGGTTCAGAAAGAGGGATATGAGGAGTACAGTGACGATGCTGTTGTTGATGATGATGGTGATGCTGATGGTGATGATGATGCTGCTACTGATGATGATGCTGATGGTGATGATGCTGATGGTGATGACGATGATGATGATAATGATGATGATGATGATGATGATGATGATGATGATGATGATGATGATGATGATTATGATTATGATTATGATGATGTCGATGATGCTGATGATGACGACGATGATGATGACGATGATGCTGATGCTGATGATGATGATGGTGATGGTGATGCTGGTGCTACTGCTGATGATGATGACCACGGCGAAGATGATCATGGCGATGAGGACGTTGATGGTGGTGTCGAGGACGAGAAACGCGATATTGAAGGATGATGGCGGGGACTGCGTGTATGAACATGGGAATGCGTATTACATATTATGATGATTTTGGACAAAGGAGTGGAAGGAGCAGGGCAGAGCAAAGGGCAGTTGAGGGAGGCGGGGCAACATGGGGAACAGGGAGGGTTGATGATGAGGGGTGACGGGAGATCTGTATTAGGATGCGGAGGAGGACAATGACGACGCCGGGGAATATTGGTGAACATGAGCAGGAGAAGGACGTGGAGGAACACAGGAATGGGGATGATACATCGACAGGAGGAGGAGGAGGAGGAGGAGGAGGAGGAGGAGGAGGAGGAGGAGGAGGAGGAGGAGGAGGAGTTGGAGGAGGAGGAGGAAACACACTGCGGATAACGAGTCGTAGGACTGAGATGCATGGAAGGGAGAGGGGAGGGAGGATGAGGAAAAGGAGGAGAAGGTGGAGCATGATAATAAACCCGATATGCATCAATGGTGTTGCAGTGCACTTTCTCGTTCGAAGCTCCCGCGCTGACAGTCCGTGCAGTTTCTTCTTTCAAGAGTTCAAGACCCACTCCATTGACATTATTGTATCTTGAGGCCTTTCATTCATGCAGTAGCTCCGCTGCTGGAAAGGAGCTAATTTCGTTGTATATCCACACGGGGAGGTATGGAACTCGTGAATGTTGGTTCATACTGTTCAGCCAAGTGTCGAACGGTCTTCTCGACTGAAGAGAAATTGATGATGGTCCCACCTGTCTGACCCTTGCACCTTTTCGCATCGGGCCATGAGCGCCGAGGAAGTTTATGTTTCGCGACAGGCCCATTTTGAGAAAGAGCCGATTTCTATCCGAGCAGATGCTCCATGCGTTAGAAATTCTCCTCTCACAATTTCAGAAGTCTTCAGCGAACGTCGAATTTCGAGAAGGGCCGTCCTTTTTCAGCGCAGCTGTGCCATGTGCTCAAGTTCATAGCCTCTTGCATTGAACCGTCTCATGCGAACACCCAGTCTAGAAAAGGACCAACCCAGAGCCTGCGTAAGTGTTCCAAGCTTGTACTTAAGACGAATGTGCGCGGCGCCCATGCCAGAACCAGATTTTGAAAAGGAGCTGCATCTATCCAACTCGTATGATACAACGCCCGAAGGTCTGGTCACACGGTTCAGCAATGTGTCCATGGATACCCCCGTTTTGAGTGGAATACCCCCCATCTATTTTCTAGTGTTGGCCATGAGTGCCGAGGAGGTCGCAAACGACAGCCCCATTTTGAATTGGGCCCGCCCTCCATCCGTGCAGAGGTACTCTCTGTCCAAGCTTCTGGTTCTCGCAAGTCAGAACTGTTTCAGTCGAACGCTCAATTTTGAAAAGGAGCCGCCATTGATATGTGCCAGCCTTGAATCTGTCCACGTCCATGGAAAAACGGAGGACTTTTCTCCCGCGAGTCCAATTTTCAAAAAGAACCGCCTTCAATCCCAGTGCATGTTCCAAGCTTTTAAGACGAAGGCGCGCGGCGCTCAGGCGAGAGCCCCAGTTTGGAAAGGATCCGCCATCCGTCATTGAAAGTTACAATGAAATCACACGGTGGCAAGGCGAGAGCCCCATTTTGGGTCACTAGAGGGAGGTCCGGACACCCCTCGCCCCCGGAAAATTGTTGGGAGGGTCCCTGCCCCGCAAAAGTGACGACGACGAAGACGACAACGACGAACACGACGACGACGACGACGACGACGGCGACCACGACGGCGACCACGACGACGATGACGGCGACGACGACAAGGACGACGGCGGCGCTGGCGACGACGGCGGCGGTGCTCGACGTGACCTAATTGAGGTCTGGCTCTGGCCTGTGGTGGATGCGACCTGATTGGGATTTCGGTCTGGCCCGTGATGGCGACGACGACGGCGATGGCGACGGCGACAACGACAACAACAACAACGGCTACGACGACGTCGGCCGCGGTAGTGGACGTGATCTAATTGGGGTCTGGCTCTGGCCGGTGGTGCACGTGACCCGTTTGGAATTCCAGTTTGGCCCGTGGTGGCGACGACGACGATGATGACGACGGCGACGGCGACCGCGACGACGGCGACGACGACGACGGCGACGGCGGCGGTTTCGACGGGGGGGGGTCGTTTCCCCCCTCCCCTCTTGCGCCGCGGGGCGGGGAGGAGTCTGGACCTCGCGGTTCTTCTGGGGGGGGGGGTGTTTAAATGGGTGTGTGTGTTTTTTTTGGGGGGGAATCCCCTGTCTTTGAGGCGCCCCCTCTCGGATGTTTTAGAGCGGGGGCGGGCCCCTTGGTTTTCTGAGACCCCCATTGTAATCTGCTACAAGCCACCGACGATGGATCGCGCTCTCTCTTTCGAAAACGACTAAGCTTTGCTGTTACGAATTTCAAGCTTCAGGATAACAAGTGGTTCGGAAGTCTGAGGCGAAACGCTTGGTCCGCCCTGCCGACACGTCTTGGGGTGCGACGGAGTAGTTGCGCATGAGGAAGAAGGATGGAGGAGCGGGCGGAAAAGGGGGAGGAGGAGCAAGGGGCTACAGGCTAACACGCCAAACGCCAATGCCAGCCTGGGACCGCTGTCGTTGGCGGTGCGCGGTGTGCGGGGAGGGCGGCGCGGTGGCAGCGCGCTGGGCTGACAGCTCATGGTACGCGGCCGGGCAACGTCGAGGGGCTCCTGGCCGCGGCCGGGTGGGACGGCGCAGTCTGCCAGAGCGGGGAGGCAGACGAGCACACCTGTGCTATCCCGACGCGCGCCGTGGCGGGTGATGCCGCTGGCCCTGGTGATCGGCGGACGCCACGGCCCTGCGGGCCCTGCCCCGGCCCACCTGCGTCGGCTCGCGCGCGACCGCGCGCAGCTGCTGGCCGGAGGCGACGGCGCCGCGGCCGCCGCTGCGGCCAGCGCCCTCGCTTGCAGCTGGGGCGCGGAGCTGGCGTTGGCCTTGCAAGCGGCAGCGGCGCGCCAGCTCCGGACCGCGCTGGGTGCAGAGGCGGTCCGGTTGGGCGAACGCGCGCTCTTGGCCGCCGCATTCGCTGGTGGAGCTGCTGCTGCCGGGGGCGCGGCGGAGGTGCTCTCCATGGTGGTGTGGGTGCTATTCTGGATTGTCGCGCTGTTGGCGAGGCGTGAGCTTTGGTGACCGCAGGAGGAGGGAGTGGAGGAGGATGGAGAAAGAGGAGGACGACGAGGACGAGGACGAGGAGGAGGATCAGGTCTCCCGTGACTTTGTCAAATTCATGTCAGCCCCGTTATCACCTTCTCGGCCCCCCCCTGGTCCCTTCCGTCCCCATTCTCCGTTCTCTGCGCTTGGGGGGGTCGGGGCAGGAGGATGCCCCGCGTCAGGCTTCGTCTGGCTGCTCGCCCAGGGGCAGCAGTGCCTGTCCCAGACGGCCCTCAACGGGGCGGACAACGCACCCGCGTGCTTCGCCTTCGATCCGGCGGCGATACGGAACGAGCAGGCGTTCCTCCCCGTCCTCCTCTTGCTTCTGCCCTTCTCTTCCTCCGCCCCCTCCGCGCCCTCGCTCCCTGCTCTCCCCCCTGCGTCTCCATATTGGGAGGATTGCGACACAGTTGGTCCATGGGGGAAGGGGGGGGGAATGGGCACAGGAGGGAGGATGGTTTCGGGGGCGGGTCTCGGGGGTCCAGGGTGCATTCAGGGGCGTTTTGTTTGTGCTTCCGGGAAGGTGCCCTGAAAACCAAGTGTTGTTTTGAACATGTTGGCCCGCGATTGACCTTGAGTGTCTACCGTTTACTCTTCATGGGCCCCGGGGAATTCCTGGCACATCCGTGGCGGTTCCGAAGGAACCCTGGTGGAACCGAAATGGACCGTTTAGGAAGCATGTGGCTCATGAGGCGCTCTATTGAATGTGTTGTTTGTTTCTACTGGCCTGGGGGCGCACGAAACGCTGCCATGCGTTGATGTTCCTGTGCGTTGCTTGTCTGAGGGCCCACGAAACGCTGCCAGGCGTTTTTGATTGAGTTCTCACCTCTGAAGAATAATCACTCTTGATTGTCCTCGTCAGGTGCCCATGACATTTGTTCAATTGAGGTGCCCCCCTCGGGGCTCGCACCTGGTTCTTTCTCCAGGAAGCCCTTGGCTCTCAAACCGCGTCGCGGGCCCGTGGCTTCCCGACTTCTGTTTCCTCGCAGAAGTATTCACGAATCCCGCTCTCGCTCAAGATTTTCAGTCATTGACTCAAGAGTCGCGCTTTCGCCCGAGACTTCGTCGCAATTTACTCGAGAGCCGCGCTCTCGACGCTTAGGAATCGCGCTCTCGCCTGGGATCCCCTCATCATTTGCTTACGGATCGCGCTTCCGCCTGGGATTGCTGTGCAAGTTCGCCGGGAAACGCGCCTCAGTTGCGCTGCCGCCCGCTTCGCCCGCTAGGCCCCGCCCCTTCGCTTGCGGGGAACTTCCGCCCACCCGCTTCGGTGCCCCGCCCGCCCGACCCGCCTGTTGAGGTCCGCCCCGCCCGCCGACCCGCCCGTTAGGGTCCGCCGCTTGAATTCCTGCTCCTCTCTCTCTCTCTCTCCCTCTCTCTCTCTCTCCCTCTCCCCCCTCTTGTGCTAGTCTCTCTCGCCCCCCCTCCCCCATCCCTCCCCCTTGCCCCTTCCATCCCTCCCTCCCTTCGCCCACTTCTTCCCTGCTCGCTCTCTCCCCTGGTCCTTTCTCCATCCTCTTCCTGCTGTAGGGGTTGCGCCAGGCAAACGTGGCAGGTAAGGAAGTTATACCGCCCGTCGGGAGTTCGTTTGAAGACGAAGAGGGCGGGTATCGAGGGTTTGGGATATACATTCTGAGTGACCTGTGCAGATGAGTGGAAGCAGTCTCAAACTTAGTGTTGAACTATCGTCCCTCAAGAAAACTTCTAATTGATCCCCCTCCGGTGTGTGTTGTAGTTTTTTCAGGTGATGTTCTCCTCCCGGAGCTCACACTTTCTTGTAAGGGGCAGTATTTGCCTTCAGGCTGTGTTGTTGGCCCCATGTTTGCTACAATGAAAGGTCGCGCTATCGTTCGGGACATCCGTGCGATTTGCCCAGGGAGCGCTCTCTCGCGTGGGGTTTTCGAGCGAAACATATAGACGCCACGCCCTCGACACCCAGGATGCACGCTCTCGTTCTGGACCTCTCCACGATCTACTTGTGGATCGCACTCTCGCCGGAGACTGCCTGGCGGCTCATGCAGGACTCCCGCTTCAGCGACCCGCACGCCGACCCGCCCGTCGGGGTCCGCCCGCCGGGCCCGTCCGTTGGGGACCGCAGTCGCCCTCCGCTAACTTCGCTTGTCTCCGATGCCCCATCGCTGCCCTCTGTGGTTCCGCAGTCGCCTTTTCGCGGCCCCGTCGCTGCCCTCGTGGCCTCCTCCATGTTCTTCGTGGCCTTCCTTCCCGCACTCCCTTCCTCCTCTCTTTATCTCTGCTTTCCTGTCTCCCTCGTCTTCCTGTTTTGGGGTCTGAGCCAACTACGTACACGTGGCAGGTAAGGAAGACCTGCCTCCAAGGGGGGCACGATCGAAGACGAGGAGACCAGGCATCGAAGGGCTTGAATGTACATTTTGATGGACACGCGGGCAGATGAGAGCGAAGAGTTTCAAACTGATTCTTGTTTTTGTTGTTTTTCCCCAACCATCCTGTGGTGTTGGGTCATCGTTTTGAAGAGACGGCACCCCGCGATCTCTTCCTCCTCCCGCCTTCTTCCTCCTCCCCTTCCTCCATCCTCCCTGGGTTTGGCCCACCCAGTACAGCGTTTCGTGGCCCCATGGGGAGCTCCACCGAAGGCCCCAGTGCTACCGCACGCATGCGCCACGCACATCCAATTCGGCATACCCCTCACACGTTCCGTGGCCCAACAGGGAGCTCCACCGAAGGCCCTAGTGTCACCGCCCGCATGCGTCGCGCACACCCTTTTCGGCACACCCCTCTCACGTTTCGTGGCCCCATGGGGAGCTCTACCGAAGGCCCCAGTGGCTGCGCTTGCAGGACACCACCGCGCCCATGTCGGCACACCCCTCACACGTTCCGTGGCCCCATAGGGAGCTCCACCGAAGGCCCCAGCGCCACCGCCCGCATGCGTCACGCACACCCATTTCGACGCACCCCTTACACGTTTCGAGGCCCCACAGGGAGCTCCACCGAAGGCCCCAGTGTCACCGCCCGCATGCGTCACGCGCACACAAGTCGGCACACCTCTCACACGTTTCGTGGCCCCACAGGGAGCTCCACCGAAGGCTCCAGTGCCACCGCCCGAATGCGTCACGCACACCCATTTCGGCACACCTGTCTCACTCTTCGTGGCGCTATAGGGAGCTCTACCGAAGGCCGCAGTGCCACCGCCCGCATGCGTCACGCACACCCAATTCGGCATACCCCTTGAAAGTTTGGTTGCCCCACAGGGAGCTCCACCGAAGGCCCCAGTGCCACCGCCCGCATGCGTCACGCGCACCCATTTCGGCACACCGCTCAATGTTTCGTGGCCTCATAGGGAGCTCCACCGAAGGCCCCAGTGCCACCGCCCGCATGCGTCACGCACACCCATCACGGCACACCCCTCACAAGTTTCGTGTGACCCCACAGGGAGCTCCACCGAAGGCCCCAGTGCCACCGCCCGCATGCGTCACGCACACCTCTTCGTGGTTTCACAGGGAGCTCCACCGAAGGCCCCAGCGCCACCGCCCGCATGCGTCACGCACGGTACACCCCTCACACGTTTCGTGGCCCCATAGGGAGCTCCACCGAAGACCCCAGTGCCACCGCCCGCATGCGTCACGCACACCCATTCCGGCACACCCTTCACGCGTTTCGTGGCCCCACATGGAGCTCCATCGAAGGCGCCAGTGGCCTCGTTCGCATGCGCCCACCGCACCCATTTCGGCACACCCTTCACACGTTTCGCGGCATCATGGCGAGCTCCACCGACGGCCCCAATGGCTGTATTCGCATGCGCCCACCGCACCTAAATTTCGGCACACCTCTCACACGCTTCGTGGCCCCATAGGGGATTCCACCGACAGCCCCAGTGGCTGTTTCCCGCATGCGCTCACCAGACAGTGTTTGGCACATCCATCGCATGTTTCGTGGCCTGATAGGGAGCTCCTCCGAATGCAGTGCGCACAACGACGGTACTCACAACTGCATATGGTTGGGTCCTCCGCCAGGCTAATTTCACAACCCTCCTGTGGGGTTGGCTCTTCGTTTTGAAGAGACGGTCCCCGCGTTCCTCTCCTCCTCTCTCATCCTCCTCGTCCTCCTCCTCCTCCTCCTCCTCCTCCTCCTCCTCCTCCTCCTCCTCCCCCCTCCCCCCGTCACCCCCCTCACTTTGGCACACCCCTCGCACGCTTCGTGGCCCCATAGGGAGCTCCACCGAAGGCCCCAGTGGCTGCGCTCGCATGACACCACCGCACCCATGTCGGCACACCCCATCACGTTTCGTGGCCGCATAAGGAGCCCCACATATGGCCCCAGTGGCTGCGCTCGCATGACACCACCGCACCATGTCGGTCACACGCTTCGTGGCCCCATAGGGAGCTCCACCGAAGGCTCAAGTGTCTACGCTCGCATGACGCCGCCGCATCCATTTCGGCACATCCCTCACACGCTTCGTGACCCCACTGGAAGCTCCACCGAAGGCCCCAGTGGCTGCGCTCGCATGGCACCACCGCGCCCATGTTGGCACACACCTCACACGTTTCGTGGCCGCATAAGGAGCCACACCTAAGGCCCCAGTGGCTGCGCTCGTATGACACCGCCGTGCCCATTTAGGCACACCTCTCACACGCTTCGTGGCCCCATAGGGAGCTCCACCGAAGGCCCCAGTTACTGCGCTCTCAGGACAACACCGCGCCGATTTCGGCCTACCCCTCACACGTTCCGTGGCCCCACAAGGAGCTCCACTGAAGGCCCTTGCGGCTGCGCTCACGTGGCACCACCGCACCCATGTCGGCACATCCCTCACACGTTTCGATTCCCCATGGGGAACTCCACCGAAGGCCCCAGTGGCTGCGCTCGCATGACACCACCGTGTCCAAGTTGGCACACCCCTAAAACGTTTCGTGCCACACGGGGAGCTCCACCGAAGACGATACCAGCACTTGCGTTATTCACAACTGCATATGGTTGGGCCCTTCGCCCCGATCATTTATTCGGTATGGGCATGGGGGCCCACCAAGCGCTGCCACGCGCTGTGCTTCTGAGTATTATTTCCGGTCTGCTCTCGTTTCCGCACAGTGTCACTGTTTGTTTCATTCTGATGTCATCGCTCGTCGCCAAGTTTTTTGGGGGTCAGAGGGCTCACGAAACGCTACCAGGCGATGTCTGCTTTGTTATTGTGTTGTCCTGGGGCCCACGGAATGTAGGTATTAGTTTTTCGGTGTTTCTTGTTTTGCGGCAGATGCTCGCAAGCCCCCACGCCAAGTTTTGCGACCCCACGTGTGCACAAACAGTCATCATGCACCGCTTGGCAGTGTTTCGTCATCCCCCCAAACAAACATAGCCTGACGAAGGACCCAACCATGTGCAGCTGCGAGTGCCGCGAGGGAGATGAGACGAAGAAGGGGGCGCGCAAACTCCGGGTAGCGCACGCAGTATAGCCTTCTGCCACGAAGCGTGTGAAGGGTGTGCCGACGTGAGTCGGGAGGACGCCTTCGAACGTCGCCGTTGGGGTCGTCCGTGGAGCTCCCAATGGGGCCACGAAGCGTGTGAGGGTTGTGCCGAACTTGGGCGGCGGCGCCATGCGAACTTTCCCACTGGCGGCCAAAGGTGGAGCTCCTCAAACGGCCACGGAACGTGTGAGGGGTGTGCCGAAATGGGGCGGTGGTGCCACGGGACCACGAAACGTGTGATGGGGTGTTACGAAATGGGGCGGCGGTGCCATGCGAACCTGCCCACAGGGGCCTTCGGCGGAGCTCCAGGTGGGGCCACGGAGCGTGTGAGGGGTGTGCCAGAATGGGGCGGCGGTGCCATGCGAACCTTCCCACTGGGGCCTTCGGCGGAGCTCCTTATAAGGCCACGAAGCGTGTGAGGGGTGTGCCGACATGGAGCGGCGGTGTCATGCGAACTTTCCCTCTGGGGCCCTCGGTGAAGCTCCTTATGCGGCCACGAAGCGTGTGAGGCGAGTTCCGACATGAGGCGGCGGTGCCATGCACACTTTCCCACTGGGGCTTCAGGTGGGGCTCCCTATGGAACCACGAAGCGTGTGTGGGGTGTGCCGAAATGGGGCGGCGGTGCCATGCACACTTTCACACTGGGGCCTTCGGTGGAGCTCCCTGTGGGGCCACGAAGCATCTGAGGGGTGTGCCGAAATGGGGCGGCGGTGCCATGCGAACTTTCCCCACTGGGGCCTTCGGTGGAGCTCCCTATGAGGCCACGAAGCGTGTAAGGGGTGTGCCGAAAGGGGGTGGCGGTGTCATGCGAACTTTCCCACTGTGGCCTTTGGTGGAGCTCCCTATGGGGCCACGAAGCGTGTGACGGGCGTGCCGAAATGTGGCGGCGGTGCCATGCGAACTTTCCCACTGGGGCCTTCGGTGGAGCTCCTCATGGGGGCACGAAACTTGTGAGGGATGTGCCAGAATGGGGCGGCTGTGCCACGGGGCCACGGAACGTGTGAGGGGTGTGCCGGAATTGGGCGGCGGTACCATGCGAACTTTCGCATTGGGGCCCTCGGTGGAGCTCCCTATGGGGCCACGAAGCGTGTGAGGGGTGTGCCGAAATGGGGTGGCGGTGCCATGCGAACTTTCCCACTTGGGCCTTCGGTGTAGCCCCATATGGGGCCACGGAGCGTGTAAGGGGTGTGCCGAAATTGGGCGGCGGTGCTATGCACGCTTTCCCACAGGGGCTTTAGCTGGGGCTCCCTATGGAACTACGAAGCGTGTGAGGGGTGATCGAAAGGTGGCGGCGGTGCCATGCGAGCTTTCCCACTGGGGCCTTCGGCGGAGCTCCCTGTTGGGCCACGAAGCGTGTGAGGGGTGTGCCAGAATGGGGTGGCGGCGCCATGCGAGCTTTCCCACTGGGGCCTTTGGTGGAGCTCCCTATGGGGCCACGAAGCGTGTGAGGGGTGTGCCGAAATGGGGCGGCGGTGCCATGCAATCTTTCCCACTGAGGCCTTAGGTGGGGCTCCTTATGGGACCACGAAACGTGTGAGGGGTGTGCCGAAATGGGGCGGCGGTGCCATGTGAATTTTCCCATTGTGGCCTGATGTGGAGCTCCCCATGGGGCCACGACACGTGTGAGGTGTGTGCGGAAATGAGATGGGCATGCGGAGAGCAGAGGCAGGGAGGGTAGGAGGGAGGAGGAGGAGGAGGAGGAGGGGAAGGAGGAGGGGGAGCAGGAAGGACGCCCCGGGGGAAGCCACAGAAATGTTTCAATGATCTGATCTTGGGGGCCCCCAAGAAACCCCAAGAAGTCTCCCTTGCAGGCCTCTGCAAGTCCTTCACGTTCCACAGGTCCCAAATGTCTCGCAGGTTTCAGAGGCCCCACAAGTCCCGCAGGTCCACTTGGCAAAACAGGTCCCAAAGGTTTCGCATGTCCCCGAGGTCCCACAGGTCCCGCATGTCCCACAGGTCCCGCAGGTCCAACAGGTCCCACAGGTCCCACAGGTCCGACAGGTGTCTAAGGTCTCGCAGGTCCCGTAAGTCTCACAGATAACACATGTCCCACAGGTCTCACATGTCCCACAGGTCTCACAGGTCTTGCAGATCTCGCAGGTCCTACAGGTCGCACTGGTCCCACTGGTCCCACAGGCCCCACGGGCCCAGTAGGCTTACAGGTCTTGCAGGACCCACAAACGCCAAAAGTCTCGTATGCCCCACAAAGTCGCACAGGTCCCACAGGTCCCACATGTCTCGCACGTCTCGCGGGTTCCACAGGCACAACAAGTCCCACGGGTCCCACAGGTCCCGCACGTTCCACATGTCCCAGAGGAATCGCAGGTATCGCAGGTACCACAAGTATCACAGGTCCCACAGATCAGATCCCACAGGTCCTACTACAGGTGTCGAAGGTCCCGCAATTCCCACAGTTGTCGCACGTCCCATGGATCCCGCAGGTGTCGCAGGTCCGGTAAACCCGCAGGTCCCACAAGTACGCCAGGTCCCATTGGTCACCTTTGCTGCTATTCGAGGGCTTTGCTGGGGAAATCATGCTGTCCGTGTTGCCAGAACTCCTCTCCCAGGAAGGAGTTTTCTGTGCCCCGATCCAGCCGTCCAGCGTTTCGTGTTCTCCGAGAGGAGGAGGCAGAGGATGAGGAGGAGGAGGAGAAGGAGGAGGACGGGGAGCTGTAGCAGCACTTGCAGGAGCTTCCCAGTTCCAGCTCCAGTTCAAGCTCCAGCTCAGCTCAAGCCCCATATGCAGCTTGAGCCCAGCTCCAGCCCCATCCTCATGAAACATGAGAACTCCAGGGAGCTCTTCGTTTCTGTTGAAGCCGATGGGCCCAGTATGCTGTTCAAGCTCCATTACACGTGTGACCATATGACCCTCATGAACAATCCGAACCTCGTGCGCCTTAGAGCCTTCGGGAAAGCTTCCAGTCCCGTGGCGCCCGCCACCTCTAAAAGCTCTGGGACAGCGCCACCCCACTGCGATGGCGGTCGCAGCGCACCTCGCTGGCGCCATGCGGCCAAGATTGCAACGGCGACGCGTTGCGAGCCGTGAAAATATAGTATGCATGTTTGCCTGTCAGTCTGTCTTTATGTCTGTCTGTCTGTACGTGTATGCATGATGTAATTATGTGTCTATGTATACATTGGCGTATACATATGCGTAGACATTTAAGAATCTACACGCGCATATGGGTGTCTTTTCTATGAGCATCGAGGACGGAAGGCGGTTCCTTTTCAAACAGAGACTCTCGATTGGATGGCTGGCCGATCGGGCGCTCTTTTTTCAAGGGAGCGCCTCCTGCTTTGAACGCGTTGCTTACACGACCAGATGAGGAAGGGGCTCTGGACGGGAATACGTGTTGTAGATTGTAGATCGCCGGTGCGTCCAAGCCACGGTGCCCGAGAGGAGTGCTTGCTTTTTGACGGGTGCTCGAAATGAGACTTGGGGTGGGGCGGGGTTGTTCCTCGGCGAGGCATGGTGCAATCTTCGACCTTCTTCTCCCCCTCTTCCCTCCTCCCCCCCTTCGCGGGCGAGGCGCCACCCTCCGACTGCCCCACAGGTCCGCCGTGACGCCGTGGACGTTTTTGTGCTCCGCTTCCACATGGTCTGGCCACTAATTTATCCGAGGTGCCTTACGGCGCAGGCGATGATGGTAGGATGATGTTTGCGATGGTGATGATGATCATGTTGATGACGTTGATGATGATGATGATGATGATGATGATGGTGGTGATACTGATGCTGATTATGATGATGATGCTGATGCTGATGCTGATGCTGATGATGATGATGATGATGATGATGGTGATACTGAGGATGATTATGATGATGATGATGATGATGATGATGATGATGCTGATGATGATGCTGACGATGATGAGGATGATGATGATTGGTGATGCTAGTGATGGTGGCAGTGGTGACGATGATGATAATGAAGCCGCTGGTGGTGGTAATGATGCTTCTGCTGCTGATGGTGATGATGAGGATCATGTTGCTGATGATGACTATGATGACGGCGACGACGGGGGTAGAGGCGGCAACGACGTAGACGATTACGATGGCGATGACGATGACGATGACGGTGACGATGACGATGATGATGACAATGATGATGATGATGATGATGATGATGATGATGATGATGATGATGGCCATGCATATGCTGATGACGATGATGATAATGATGTTGATGATGCTGGTGATTATGATGCTGATTATGCAATTGATGATGATGATGATGATGACGGTGATGACCATGGCCCTAATACTAATAACACGACTCATAAGCAGTAACTTTATCACCTTTGATATTACGGTGATTCGATGATGATGCTGTTGATGCTGGTGATGATGTTGCTGATGCTGCTGATGATGAGGATGATGATGATGAAGCTGACGATGCCAGAGCCGACGACGACGACGAGGCTTATGGCGATGCTGGTGACGATAATGATGATGCTGATGTTGGTGATGATGATGGTGATCATGATGATCATGGTGATAATGGCCACGATGCTGGTGATGCTGCTGCTGCTGATGATGATGATGATGATTCTGCTGACGATGATGCTGACGTTGTTGTTGATGATGAGGTTGTTGTTTGTGACAATGATCATGGCTGCTGCTGCTGCTGCTGGGTGATGATGGTGGTGACGGAGACTATCTTAGTTAATACAACGAACAGGGCCACCAGGGCGGGGGATGAATAGCGGGATAATGTGGATGCGGATGAGGGATTCGGCGGTGGAGGGAAAATGAGGAGGGGATGAAGGGTGAACACTTGGAGGAGGAGGAGGAGGAGGAGGAGGAGGAGGAGGAGAAGGAGGGGAAGGAGGAGGGTCAGGACGGGGACGAGGCGGAGGTGGAGGAAGATCAGAAGGATTACCAGGCCAAGGTCAGAAGCGTGCTGGGCTCGCGCCTTGCTCGCGTTCCCTGCGCCGACGAGGCAGGGGCAGGTTCTCGGCGATGGGGAGGGGGGACAGGGCGGAGGAGGAGGGGGGGCAGGAGAGGATGGAGAATGGGAGGAAGCAGGGGTGGAGCGGATGGAGGAGGAGGAGGAGCAAGAGGAGGGGCCTTTCGGAATCTTCTGGCCACGCCCGAGGGGCTGTGCTGCACCCGAAGACGCGAACGTACCCCCAAGCCAGGCAACAAGCCTCCTGACTGGACATACGCCAAGAGAAAGGGGGGGGTGCTCAAGCATGTGGCTCAGCTGGGCGGCGTGGCGTCACCACGTACACTCAATGACGCGATGCCATGTGATTTAGCAGCAGCTCCTGGAGAAGAATCGCCCTCCCCTGGGAAGGGGGAGGTCATGGAGCGTGCAGTGCTCGCTTTGTTTCGCTTCTAGACTAGGCGGGTGTTGCCCACACAGACCGTCTCCGACTTCGTGATTGTTTTGTCGCGGCGTGGATGGAGTAAAGAGTCGGATGGGCAGACTGACGACGGTTCTCGATCTCGACATTGGCACGCTGAGAAAAAAAACACTGGCTTGTCAGCTGGTGCTAGCAGCTGCCCCTACTTTCTAAAACATGTTCGGCAAATCCTGACCCCCCTCCCCCCAGGATCGTGAATTACATGCACTCGCCGTCGCCAAATTATGTCTTCCTGTGTCCCCTTGGAAATATCTGACTGTCAGGTAACGACGTAAGTGACTTGTATACGCGGCTGAAGCTGGGCAGTTTCAGGTCTCCCAGACCGAAAGTGACAACAGAGACATTCATTCAGCCGTTGAGAGATGATGCCGAAAAGGAGGGGTCTAACCAACTAACTGTTCGTACGATGTACCTATATATATATATACACATGTAGGTATATGTTATACATGTAGGGTTTACACTGGTATTGTGTGTTTTCTATTTTGGCTCCCCCTGCTTTCTGTTCCTTTGGACTTCCGAGGCCCCCAGAGGTTTTTTGGGAGCGCCGGGGCTGTCGCGGGGGCGTCGCCCTGGTGGATATGTGTGGCCCACGTTCTTTTAAGTTAGTGTGGTCCCTACAGCGCCCGTGAAGAACTTATTCAACCTATGTCTGCCCCAAATTGACGGTAAAAACTGCGTTTGGACAGAAATCTATCGCTTCCAGTGAGGCCACGAGGGCCATATGGCTACGAGATGGGGTTGTCCCAAGCAAACCGTGTCTCCAAGCAGCCAGATCATTCCAGCCATCTCGAAGGGTTGTCTGATGGCGGCCCGCCCGATCGTGCGCCTGGAAGCCCGGTCGGTGGCCCTCCCCCACCTGGGGATCTGCTGGGGATGACGCCTATCCCGCGGGGCTCCGCCCTCGGCCCGCGGGTGCCCCTCCGGTCCCGTGCCTCACGCCTGGAGCCCCGCGGCCGCGCGGTGGCCCGCGGGCTTCCTGATCCCGCTCATGATCTGGGACAGGTACCCGGACAGCAGGGAGCCGCGCGCGCCTCTCGTGGGCGGGAGGCGCACGCGTCTGCATCCTCGGCCTCGTGGTCTGGGTTCCCGGGCCGCGTCACCCATGGGTGCTTGGCGGCTTTGCGCCGGGTGCCCCGCGCGGAGCGTGTCCACTATCCGTGGGGGCCGTGCCTCGGAGTCCAGGCAGCGAGGGCACGGGTATCCTGATGTGTTCGTTTCATCCCTCGTGATCTCCCCCTCCACCCGAAGGGAAGTAAAAGCCTTTGGGACGCCGCCATTTACCTTTCGCACAGCGCCCCCTCGGACTTCCGACAACCCCTGTACTCTCTTCCCCTCCTCGTCCGCCGTCAAGTCAGGATGGGCGCTTTCGTTGCGATTTCGGCGCCAGACCATCCAGGACTCCTTTTTTTCCGGTGTGGTAGTCTCTTTTTGTGAAAGGGGAAGTCGCGACGTGGGCATTTTTTGCGACGTCGGATCTCGATCCTTGCCTTGTCTCCTCCTAAAGTTTCTTGTCATGCCGATGGCTGCCATTCGTTTCTCCATGTCATGCAGTGGTGATGTGCAGTCCTTGAGGATGGGCGCATCATCGCGATGGGGAATAAGACCTTTCCACCCCACTGCCCCCCCTTCATGCCTCTTTTCTCCCCTCTTCCCGTTTCCCTCCCACAGCCCCTCCCCAGCCATGCCCCGTCCTCTCAGGCTCTCCCCCTGCCAGCTCCCCCTCTACCCCCTACCTTGGATGGGGCAATAATCCCCCCCCCCCGCCCCCCACCCTGGATCTGCGGCGGGGGGGGGGTTGGGCACATGCTGTCGGAATGGGTGAAGGGGGGGGAGGAAGAGGAGGAGAAGGAGGGAGGGTGGAGGGGTGGATGGGCAAGATCCGTCGCAAGGTCAATTGCGCCCCCTGTGATAAATACTCATCAGGGGTCGCCGTCTTCGAGGCATCTTCAGCCATCTTGGTGTCCTCGTGGCTACCCAAGGACACCTAGATGTGCAGTGTTAACGATTGCGGATGAGCCGAGATATGTTTGTTCTTGCCTTCGCCAGCACAACCATGGCGGGGTGCTGCCGCGCTTTCGCAGCCACTGGCGTGGACGGCCCCGCCCTGACAGGCGTGGAGGAGGAGGAGGAGGAGGAGGAGGAGGAGGAGGAGGAGGAGGAG